TATATATAAAGACAGAACAGTAAAACCACAACAGCTTATTTATTTTAACACAGCAGCACATTGGACATCTGCCCAAAATCACACACAAAATGAGGAACACTTCGTGGGTGTGTTTGTTCATGAGAATCACTGAGGAGAGATCCAGAGCAGCTCTTCATGTTATCTTGTTTAAAATGATTTGTTTTTTGTCTGAAGCCAGTTGAACAGCAGCAGGTTTGATTGAATGTGAGCTGATGTTCACGTGACGTCTTTTCCATCACGACAGTTAACAGAAAAAAAAAAGTTTTCCTTCCACGGACACTTCACACAACAACTCTGATCGTTGAGTGAAAAACAAACAATATCCAGTCACCATTATTGTTGTTTATATACTTATTTGAACTTTTGGAGCATAGAGTTAGAAATTATAATAATGTATGGCCCGCTGCGTCTTCAGCCACCAACCCACTGTCTCATGTTGTATTGAAGCTGCACACACGTATAGAGAACAGTTTAAATTCATGCTCTTATTTTGAAGTGAACACGGTTTCCTGCTCTCCGTCCGGTACACAGAATGCATCGCTTCATTTCTACAATAAATAGTTTAACATTACTAATATATTGCATGCTTTCTTACTGAAGCCCTACCATAAACATAAGAAAATGACCAAGAAGCAGCAGAACTAGTAATCCTCAACAACTGTTTATTTATCACCATGAGCCAAAAGTCTGTTTCAACAAATCACCTCCCCAAACTGCGGCGTCATGTGCCATTCTGTGAAAGCAATTTGTCATGCTTCTAGCTGGCGATGTTGTGCAAGAATGGCTCATGTTTTCATTGGATTAAATTCTGGTGAACTCTGAGGCAAATTTGCCCTTTAGATTTTGCTTCTGATAAATTTTCTTTGGCCATATGTGCTTTAGAATTTGCGGACCTAAATAATTTTATGAGAGCTTTAAAATTTGCGCAACTAACTTGTGAATTAGCGCTGTCCACCACTGGTAGCAACCAATGGTTGCACAATAGTCTTAATTTTGGCCCTCATGCTGAGTCATACATGTAGATAATTTAACAATTTCTTAATTTAACAAATAGGGGCCTCAATCACATGTGGAAAAACCAAACACAGCCACAACAGCCTGGCACCTCCTTCTCATGATGCCCACTGGTGTTGGCATCCCGTACTTTAACCAGCATTTGTTGCAGGTCAGCTAATATGGTTGTGTTGGTCACTGGAACAAACAGCATTCCCAAGCTGATCCCACAGGTGTTCAGTGGGGTTGAGGTCAGAATTGCAGGCAGGGCATTCCATCATCTTCACTATGAAATTCTGGAGGCAGTCTCTGATAAACCCTCCTCTGTGTGGGTGAGAGTTGCCATCTTGGAGATCAGAGTTTGGTCCCAGAATTAGGAAACTGATCATCAGCACCTGTGGCACCAGATGCTCATAACAAAAGTCAATAACAGAAAAGCTGCTCAGCACTGACGGAGTTGGATTGTCAAGTTTTTCATGGCAGCTATCCACATACTCAACTCTGCTGCTCAAATGCATTTTCCTAACAAATGTGGCACCTCGTAAATGGAAACCAATAGACCTTCCAAAACTAAAAGATGTATTGCCAAGAAACATTGTTACAATAAAGAAATCATCTACCAAACACAAATTTTCTTACTTTTGTTTTGTTTGTACTTACTATTTTATTCAAAAAAGGCGAATAGAGTTTGACACTGGTACCAGTCAGTACACCACATGTCCTCACACAGGCCTGGACTGGTTGTTTTACTGGCTGTAATTACAGCCTCAAACCAAGAATAGAAATCCACAGACTCTGTCCATATCTGTTTACTCATCTAACAAACTCTTTAATCTCTGTTTTTTTGTTGTTTTTTTGTTTGTTTGTTTTTTTGTTTATTGCTTTAGAGGCAACGGGCCTCAGGAACAGTAAGATATACTGTGTTAGTGAAGAATGCAATAACTTGTCAAATAGTAAAGAAACTCTTGCCATCAATGCATGTTTTGGTTATTGGGAGGAAACTGGAGAAACAAAAACTATTAAAGTAATAGAAAATTGGGAACCTTCAAAAAATGATAGTGTGAATGATTGTCTCATTTGTTTGCACATGTCCCTGTAATGGACGTGCGTTTATGTCTAGGGTGTAACCTGTCTCTCGTGCAGTTACTGCTGAAAACAAGCACCAACAACCCTGATAGGAAAACCAGATAAAAGAAAATAGATGTATGAACTTTTCCAAAGTCAGATTTTTTACTTCTGGCATGTTTGTATTGTCTTTGTCTCCGTAATTTCCAACATTTTAGTTTGGGGTGCCACAAGGCTCAAAAACCAGCTGTTTACAGTGGCAGAAACACCTGTGTTTCAAGGTATAATCACAAGGCTTACGGTCTTTACCAGTGAGGTGACAGCCTGGGTCATGTAAGCAGATGGTATTATCGATGTGTAAGCTCAGGATGCCAAGTGAATGACTCATGAGGCTATATCATGATGTCATGTCTGCCATGCTGTAGGTAGAGATGTGACATTAGATCTGACAGGTTAAAGTAAGGATTAGTTTTATACTATGTACTGCGGGTAAAATAAGTATTGAATACGTAACCGTTTTTCTCAGTAAATATATTACTAGAGGTGCTAATGACATGAAATTTTCACCAGATGTTGGTAACAACCCAAGTGATCCATACATACAAAGAAATCAAACCATAAATGTCCAGAAATGAAGTAAAAACAAAAAGTATTGAACACACTTACTGAAATTTATCTAATACTTTGTACAAAAGCCTTTGTTGTCAATGACAGCTTCAAGAC